CGCTCTAGGGCAAATGGTTATAGGATTGCAGACTCAGATAGGTTATTGGGCTGACTGAAAGAGGAGAGAAGTGGGAGGCTGAATGTCAGCTAGCATCGGCTGCCTTTTTTCTAAAGATACCTTCATTTGCCTCTGCAAAAGGACGTCTCTCACAAGCCACCCGAGAAGATTAAAATAGCTCCCTTTCCACTAGAGAGAATTATTCAGCGCTAATCAAATAGCCAGTGACCTGAAGCTTTTTCCTCTCTGCTTGTTAGTTTCCCTCTTCCCAAGGGGCTCCTGGATCTGACTGGATACACCGCAGGGAGACTGGGCTCTTTGTATGGAGACCATGCAGACGGAGGTGTGGGATACCTCTAAGCCTGGTGAGAATCGGTAGGGCATCCAGGCATTTTGGAGAGGCAAGATGTAAGCCAGCATGCGCTTGGCTTCTTCCAGAAAGGACAGCCAGACCCACTGGCTGGATTGAGATGACTGGGCTGGAGGTCCAAGGCTTACTTGCTGCGGGGAGTAAGTCTGTCTGTGTGATGCTCTGAGCCATAAATCTGTGCAACCCCGTCTATTTGATGAGTTTATGGTTCAGTGTGCTGGCTGATCCCAGAAAACAAGGATAATTGAGTGAATTGTTCTTCTGTTCACGGTGGGCAAGCAGTCACATGAATGCAGCTTAGGGAAGCAGCACATTATTTGTCTGAAGTTTTCCTTGGCTGAAAGTAAGCCTGTTTAAACCCAAGGAAATATCTTGTTGGGTAGATATTCCTGTTGGTGTAGTAGTGAAGGCACCAGGCTAGAAACCAGGAGACTGAGTCCTGGCCCTGTCTTAGGCACGAAACCAACTGGATGACCTTGAGCCAGTCCTTCTCTCTCAGCCCTAGGAAGAAGAAGGCAAACCACTTCCAAAAATCTTGCCAAGAAAAGTACAGTGACTTGTTCAGGCAGAATGATTTGAAGGTCCCAGATCATAAGCATCTTGGACTGCATAAATCTGGAGTTTCCCAAATGTCTTGGCTGCATCTGGATTTTTGTGGATATGGTTATGCCCACCTTTCAGCAGGCCACCAACCAGTGTGGGGGAAATGTCCCCCAGCTAGGGCAAGCAGCAGGAACGCAGAAGGCCTGTCTTCAGGACTCTGCCTGATCTTCTCTAGACTGGTCTATTGACTCCTTCTTCAACAACGCTTTGGGCCTTTCCCAACTTAAGTTTATGCAGAATAAGGAACTATATGGGAAGACTAGATGTAGAAATAGGCTCAGAGAGGAGGGAAGCAGGGCCCGACATGCCTGTACAATTAGCTTGGTCCTCTTGAGTGGTGTTAACTGTTGAAGGGGAAGTGGATTGAAACTGACAAGTACAGGGAAATTGGCAGATACGCAGCAAAAGCCTGGTTCAACATTCCTCATTACATTCTGGACCTCGCCTGGTGAACCCCTAACAGTGCAGCCCCTGAAAGTAGAAACACATTTCAAAATACCATTGAAGCAGGTTAACACATACACGCACAAACACACCCTCTTCGTCTCTAAACAGAATACTGGAGATTTCAGGATTTTATTAAAGAGGGAGAACCCCCCTTATGCTCCTTCTTCTTCCCTAAATAAAATAGTAGAGATTTGTGGTCGTCTTCTCTACTTTGTGAGATGCTTGGAGAGAAGATGGTGTCAAAGCTTGGGAGAAAGGTGGTGGGTATGAAAGCAACCAGAAAATTAAGTGCTCGCTAAGAAAGCAAATAATATTACAGAAATGGCCCAGCTGGTTGGTTCCGTTTTTCCGTTCCCACACTCTCAAAACACACCTTCAATCACTTGCACAACAGGTCAGCTGACCTCACCTCTGAGATAATAGGTGGCATAGCATTTTAGATTTCTCACACTTCAAAGCTGTGGTGTAGCAGCGTTGGCTTAAAGGGGAAAATGCCACTTTAAAGCAAACTCATGGTGACTTAATGCAGTTTCACTCGGCCTCAAGTTCCTAATGTC